TTGAGGAATATTCTGGCGATTTTTCTTCAGCATCTGCTCAAGATCCGTCCAACAAAACACAAACAAACGAGAACCACACAACAAATTCAGGGCCATCTCAAGAAGGTAGATGTTTCCAGGTTTCCGGTAGTTTCAAACGAAGCAATACAAGAGCTCAACTCTGTCGCAGTGAATAAACATACGTAGTCAAACTACGCTCCGCTCCACAAAACAGTGAACGAACGTCTTCCGAAGCTGGTGCCCCGCCATCTTGAAAATATCTTGAAACAAACGACACCCCAAGAACTTGACAAGGTCTTGAGTATTAAGTTCTACGCCGAGGTCACAAAAAGAAACGGAGATACTTACGAGCTGGAATCCCTTAAAATCATGCAGAGTGCCATTGAACGGTATTTAAAAGAGAAAAACTATCCACTGGGCATTGTGCACTCGAGGGAGTTTCACAACTCAAAAGTAATCCATCGCAGAATTACACTAGCTGCACCTTTAAATTCCTTCTCCAAAGACAATTAGAAGTCTCAGCCTCATTCACAGAAGAAAAGGAAGGTCTTCCATCATTGATTCAGGGGACGATAATTGAACTTTGATGCATGAAGTACACTGTTTTCGTTCTGACTTCAGAACTGCTTGTTTCTTTGTTATGCTCGAATGAGTGTTTGTCATATAACATCGTTTCGTCCCAGTTACCCGGGCTGGAGTGTTCATATGGGAAAAAAACCCCGAGACCCGGCTTCTCATATGAACACATCGAAATTTTTATGAAGGAAAGAGTGGCGAGGCGAGATCTCGGAAACCGAGCCAGCCCGGTTGACTGGGCTAATATGAAGAGGCCCGTAATCATTTTGTCTTTGGCGACACGACGGGACCCGCGAAAGTTTCCCGCATGCACTCCCGTTCCCGTCCTGACCTTCCCGTCCTGGTATCTTAAGGTCCCTAGCGGCTCAAATCGTCGCCGGCAAGTATGTGGACTTGTCGGATCTCTTGGCTGCTAATTTGATACGTTCGGAGTCCGAACCTCAACTGCTCCTGGATGGCCGGCTTGTACTCAATACACCTCCGAAAATATAGCGTCGGCGCATTGGGCACGTGACAAGTTGGACAGAGGCTTTTACTATCTTTGCTCTGGTCATAACCACGTATTTCCCGCATCGGTGAAAAGACCTCACTCTCTAAAAGCTTCTGATCCTGCGCATCCATCGCTAATTTAGTGGTCGAGTTTGGCTCGCGTTCAATCAGGCCTTCCGAGAAAATGCCGCGGCTACAGGCTGACCGACTGGTCGGAATTAAAGTCCTTGTTGTTCAGTTTCCACTCCGGCGGATCGGCAGTTCGCGATCCCGGCACAGCAGCCGCAATCGACACTTCGGAACCAACAGGCTCGCCGTCCTCGCTGATCCCATGTATTTCGTGGAACAAGCGGCGTTGTACGGTCCCCTACGCGTCTTGTCGCTACCACCATCGTTGTAGCAAATGCTCTGAAGAACATCGGGGAGCTATCGTGCTCCGTCCGGGCCGATCGTAAGTTCGACGAAAAACGGCGTTCACGTTCTCCGGCCGCTGGTCCACCCTTAAACAAATCTTGCCGTCATTAACTTTCAACTTTTGGCGGACCTAGCTCTCCCCTTTGGGATTCGTTCTTCCCCATACATCTACAATTCTGTGGCAGACATGGTGGAATGGATCCTCCTCAACCCCCACGGTGTATTGGATCTCCTGCATTACTTGGATGATTTTATTACGGCTGACCCTCCCAACTCTAACCAGTGTGCTTTCAATCTAGCAACTTCTGTGGCAGTTCGTAAATCATCAGGCCTCCACATTCACCCTGACAAGTGTGTAGGTACTTCGTCCCGCCTCGTGGCGCTAGGCATCGAATTGAATTCCGTGGCTCAGGTGGCACGTCTTCCCGCCGACAAACCTCTTGCTCTGCAGCAGCTGATACGATCGTGGTGTAGCCGTCGCTAGTGTTCAAGACATCAACTGGAGTCTTTGAGTGGCCCTCTTCATCATGCTGCCGGGGTTGTCTGGCCAGGTCGCACGTTCCTCTGGCGCACGATCGACCTTCTGCGTTGTTTCCTTAAACGTGACCTTCCCATCCGCCTCAATGCTGAGTTTCAGCGGGATCTTCAGTGGTGGCAGCAATTCTTGCCCTCGTGGCATGGGTTTGCTTTTAGCTGTTTCCAGGAATGACGGCCACTTCAGATGTGGAAGTTACATCAGATGCTGTGGGTTCTCTTAGTTTTGGTGCTTACTTGAGGGGTGGGGGGAGGGGGGGGGGTGGTTTAGTGGAACGTGGGCTCCCTCTCAAGCAACCCAACCAATAGCCTATAAAGAGCTGTTTCCAACTGTGATAGCTGCTCACGTTTGGGGTCATTATTAGTGCAGGTGTCATGTCCTTTCTCGGTCCGACAGTAAAGCTGTGGTGCATATCTTAAATTCACGCACATCGAAAATTCCCTGTTTAATGCATTTGCACCGTCAGCTCCTCGCATCATCCGCTCGTTTCAATTTTTCCTTTGCCTTCTTACACGTTCCGGGTATTCTCAATAACATTGCTGGTGCACTGTCCCGCTTTCATTGGCAGGAGTTCAGGAGGCTTGCTTCCAAAGCTCAGGCGCTGCCAGTACCTATCCCGTCCCAACTTCTGGCGGAATTGACCGACCCCTCCGAGAGCGACAGTGCGAGCAGTTCTTGGTTCAGGGCTCTCAGCCACCACTCGCAAGTCATATGCATCCGGTCAGAAAAAGTTCATCCAATTCTGCACCCAAACGGGCAGACTGCACCCCACTGGCTCTCCATGTCGTACTGATGAATGGACATTTTGTCTGTTTGTATCCAATTTGGCCGGGTCCATACAGCATTCGTCTATCAAGGTGTACCTTTCAGCGGTTCGCTCCCTGTATATTAAGCAGGGCTTCCCAGACCCTCTTATTGATTGTGTTCGTCCACAGCTAGTGGTCAGGGGAATTAAACGTTCCCAAGGTTCCGCCAACTCGCAGCAGTTGCCTATGACAGACGATATTTTATTGGTCATTTTCAAGTCATTAGATTTATTGATTCCTGACCATGGCATGGTCTGGGCTGCCTGAAATCTCGCTTATTTTGGCTTTTTGAGATCGGCGGAGTTAAATCTGGCCAGCTTCTCCGATGCTCTTTACCTGAATGTAGAAGATATTGCTGTTGACTCTGACACCAACCCATCATGCTTAAAGGCGTCCAAGACAGTCCCCCTTCGTAAGGGCTGTTTCTTCCACATTGGTAGGGGCAACTATCCCCTCTGTGCTCTCCAATCTATTTGTCAATTAGGGGAACTCTGGAAGTCCCCTGTTCCTATTCCAGGATGGCCGCCCTTTGTCTCACATTATGCTGACCAGCTGGATACGGCAGATGTTGGCCAGGGCGGGGATTCCTGGTAACTTTCCTAGCCACAGCTTTCGTACTGGTGCTGCTACCGTGGCTGCTCGTAATGGGAATCCGGACCATCTTATCCAGTCTTTGGGTCGTTGGTCAAGCAATACTTATCAACTTTACATTCGAATGCCATCTGAGGCCTTGGCTATTCTCTCGCGTCGTCTTGCTCTACAGTTCACAACCCCAAGAGCCCCAGCTACCAGCTGTTAGAACGATGGATCGAGTATGTTTGACAGCACGGTTCTCGGCTCACTGGCTATGGGGAATAATGCTGCCGAATGCCCGACAGAGTGTCTGGCGGGGCTTGGCCTCTTGGATATGACAGGTGTTCCGGGGCCTATGCTTGCTGCTTCTGCCAATCTCGCAGCCTGGCCTATTGGATATGGCAGGTGCCTGCTTCATGTTCCTGCTACTTGTTCTGATTTCGCAGTTTGGCCTTTTGGATTTGGCAGCTGTTTGCATACTTGTGCTCCAGGCTTGTGCCGTTCACGCAGCCCGGCCTATTGGATACGACAGGCAGTTGCTTATCTGTGCTTAAGGCTTGTACCGATCTTGCAGCCTGGCCTATTGGATATGGCAGGCCTTTGTATACCTGTGCCTTAGATTTGCTTCAATCACCCAGCCTGGGCTATTGGATACGGCAGGCGTTTGCATTTTCGTGCTTTCGGCTAGTGCCGATCACACAGCCTGGTCTATTGGATAGGGCAGGCGTTTGCATACCCGTGCATTGTGTGAAATAACCACACTCCGTGGCCTTTTGGAGTCTGCGGGCCTCCTCCACCGTCGTACTCGCACTTGCTGACCTCACAGCCTGGCTCATTGGATTCAACAGACGAATGCAGACGCACGTTCCCTGCTCTGGAATCGTGGCTGACTTTGCAACCTGGCCTTTTGGATATGGCAGGCACCCGTACCTTGCGGTCATGGGCCATACTGTTGCAACTTGGCGAGGCAGATTTGCGCCCCCAGCTCTCATTGTTGCAGCTTGGCTTTGTTCTCGATTTGCTACCTGTGTATGTCTTCAAGCTGAGCTGGGGGAAGGTGCTTGGAGATTATTGGCAGTTGACGTAGGTCCCAGGCCCCCACCCCACCCCTGTTCGCGGGGCCCTTCGCCCTTCCAAGCCCCTTGTTGGGCGTAGGTTTCTTAGGTGGTTACCACTCTCAGGGTTGCCGTAGATACCTGCATGCTCTGCTCGAGGCTCATTTCTCGGCTCCACCATACCTAAGGCACCTTTCCCAAGCTCATCAATTGGCGATGAGTTTAATATTTTGCTCCCGCCCTAGCAGTATAAACCTGCGATTAGGCGTTCTATTTGGGAGGCGAACGCGAAGGCGAAAGGGAAAATTTTTCATAAAGTAAACCTGATCGCGGGTTAACGATCTAGCAGCAGAATTATATTACGCGGCGCGAGGAATATTCTGACAACGGACGTGAGCATAAATATTTGCATGCGTCGAGACGTTATATTTTCTGCGACATCACCGAGCCAGGGCGTGAACAAAATAAAAGCCGCGGGGGATTTGATGAACACGAATGCAAGGGATAGGTTCTGTGAAGCCTCTGGATAGCCAAAACAACGATTTTCACACATTCAAGGTCACGTAGTTTTATTCCATTTGTAGTTTTGTACTCGATATCTATTGACGTTGAAAGTGATGTAGGTCATGCCATGTTAGCTATTTCTATCGTTTCAACCGAGACAACCTACAGTGCTTTTTGGTTCACATTTGAACAAAATTGAAACAAATTGCAACATCTATCTTAATCGTTGCTGATTCGTATGACATGATAGAGGAGGCAAAGAGTGAAGACGAGACAGGCTAATAAAAACAATCACGGCAAATTATTTATGGTGAATTTGTGACGCTGATGATTCCAGAGTTGGCCCAGAGGATCAGCAAAAAGTAAACACTCGAAAACTCAGCTTTCCAAATTCGCCACGGTGGTTTATTTACCATAATCAATTAAGTGATTACTTGCCTACTATCCCTGCACAACAGTTTCTTTCGAAACTAGTTACTTTGTAACAGAAATGAACATGATTCAACGCTAAACGTTTGTGTGAGCAACAATCGCCAAATACAGTTGGTAGACACAGTTGAACGTACCCAGTCACGAGTTTCAGGGGCTAACAGAATGGCAACATAGTATACCACTCTTGTTCTATATTTGATGTTGACGAATGGATGACATAATGCCACCAGCGTTTCCAACTATCAAGAGCCTCCTTAATTCAACCAATATGTGCCAATTTATCACGAATGTTTGGATGAAGAATAAATAAAATTTAACTTAGATTAGTCTATTGCGATGGAAGCAAAACACAATTTTATTATTTTAAATATTGAATGTTGTTGTATACGTTTCCAGATTCACCTTTTTCCAGTTGCCTTATGCCCTTGACATGAAAATTGATTACTGCGAAAAAGAAAAAGCCACCTTCATCAAACCTGATCAATCACACAGACTATTATTACATACCACCTTACTCTTACTTTCCTGTGATCGGGTAACTGAAGTAAATCCATTAAAATCACTTCCAAAGGATGCAACACGTCAGACGGTCACGTTACAATTCATTACCTGCCTAAGTATTGTGTGAAAAAGACTGTTAGAGGCCCTTTATTACATTGCATTTTTCTTATTCCGATCAAGTGCGAACTGTTAAATTACCCTTACAATATGCGTAAAAGGCCCAAATAAGGCACCCAATTCATTTGATAACTTCCAATAAAATATAGGTAACGTTCTAAATGTCATAAATGGAAGCTTTTGGCCTCTCTTGTGCTGCTGTAGCAGGTTTCCCTGACTCGCTATCGGAAGTTTCAGCATGGTTATCACCCACAGGAGCTTCCTCAGACATTTCCATTTGTTTGGGGCCTGGATCAGTAGGTGTTGAGGACCGAGACCCCTGAGGTGAGGAGAGTGGCCGAGCTGAAAGGGCTGGACTGGGAGCCAGGATGATAGGTACTGAGCTGGGACGTACATTGTCCGCCAACGAGCCCAGATGTGTTGGGGAGCTGCTCCTGTTTGCTAAAGATGGAAGCGGTGGCTGGAGCACCACACAGACTTGTTGTTGTCCCCCGCTAGGAGGGGAAGAGATGCTGCTAGTGCTGGTGCTTCCCTGTTTTGAGGGCAAGCTTGGGCCAGGGTTAGGCTTGTCGGGCTTGTCTGGCTTATTCAATTTCTCAACTAACAAGAAAACGAACTGATCACTTGAGGGACTTGAACATTATAGCGTGTCTGGAAGCACTTCTTAGATTCTAACTATCTGGCCGTCTTCACACAATGACAAGTTTTAAACTGCTGAGATATATTTTCTCAATATCAGACAAATCTTAGTAGAAGACAGTGCGGATACAGTTTTGGATTCTTGCGCTCTAATCAAAATAGATAGCGTAGGCAATGGTAAGCAATCATCAGCATAACACAATAGGGATACGTCACGTTTCTTAGAGACCAGTTCAGATTACTGACAACACACAAACAAAGAAAGTTTTTCTTATTTAACTGACAGAATAACAGTTTCTTACCTTCATCAACAGGACACGTCAAATCTGAACCAGGATTAGATGGTTCTGTCAATACCTTCTCTTGCTCCACCTTGACTGGAGGAGTGTTGGCAGGGGGAGATTGGCTACGAGGTGTAAAAAGCTCTTGCCGTAGATTGGGTAAAAAGCAGTCGATTCGCTCCCACGTGACCTGCCACAGGGCGGAGTACTTGTGTACTTCGGAGTCTGATCTGCTGTGTGTCTTGCGGCTGTCGCCCTGGGAATGAGCTGTTAGTGCACATTCCTCTTCATCAAATATCCCAGCTGTTGACATCACCAGTAACATGTTCTTCAAGGATTCTGGAATGGCTTCAAACTGTGAAGGTAAAGGTTAATAATGTAGTAGAATTAAGAGCAGAGAGGGAAATGTAGCCTGGGGAGGGGGAGGCTACTGGACCTCGCCCTGTACTCTCAGCACACCAGATGGAGTCCTATCAAAATGAAATAAACCTCGAAGTTCATCAAAAGTACTCCCTTCTCGGTGTTTGAAAATGTGGTCAAACACCATCTTGAATGTTTGATATACGTTCTCAATCGAAACTAAAACTAAGGAGAAAAAGGAGAAATAAACTCGTAAAAATCTATGCTAATTAAGATCAGATATCCAAACGCCGTCACAGTAATGCTTTTCTTTGTTTTAATGAGTTTCACGACATTTTACTACCATGCAACAAAAAAAGCAAAAATATAAACAACCTTGTCTGCGTACAACCGCCCGTCGGAGGAGCCTGTACACAGTCTGTAAACAACAAGGCCTGACACGCTGTAGGTTGCAGTTTTATTTGTGCTCATTTTTTGCCTTAAAAGATTACTTTACCCTTCTTAGGACGAATGCTACTTCTCTAGAGGAGTTACGTCTTCCTCTAAGTTTTGAAGTTTGATTGAAATATCCCAAGAACTCACCAAAAGATCGCTTTTATCTGCGTGCATGTACTTATCCATGAATTCAAGGATTGTAAGCCAGAGGGCAGTGAACGTGGACAGTGACAGTAAAGGAGTTAGATGCTGCAGAAATACCTGGAACATGAAAATAACAGATGTATCCATGACTAACTTCGTTAAAATTGATTGGAAACGAGCGTCCCATGTCTAGACAGTATTTCGGGGTTAGGTAAAGCATCAAGTTAGCCGACGGTTAGCTTAGAGGTACAGTTAACTTTGGCTCATGTTTAGCGGTTAGTTTTATAACGTTCTCAAGGTCATCCTCTCGGCTGCCACGCACAGGGTTCCACATATCACTACTTTCGGATGATTAGAGACGAGGGTCGCACATGTGATGGGTCACTTTCGTCACAATAGGTTCGTCCCAAATGGTCCATCCCAGGTGAAAAACTATATTAACAGCTATGACAAAAAAATACACACAAAGTGGTTCTATCTATCTGTCTGTCTGTCTGTCTGTCTATCTATCTATCTATATATAGCAGTTTGAATGTTTGAGAAATTCAGAGGATTTGAATGGGTAATAAATGTTACAATAACATGAAGTAGTCTCTGTCTAGTAAAATAATATACGCCAAATGTTTGATACCTTGCACAGGAGTGTGGCAGCTCTCATGCGTGTTTCCTCCACACCCATTGGGTCACCGTTGCTATTAACTTCTAGCAGCTGAGACAGCATGGGAAACAAAACCTACAAACACACGGACTTATCACTCATTCAGGGTGTATAAAGGTCATCGTGACACACAGGCAATGTAAAGTACTCATTTTGTATTTAGTCAAATGACTGGCTAGTGTGTAACAGAGTTGCTACAAGTCGACCTTCCACGTATGCATAGTCACGTTCACATAAGGACATCTACAACGTTTTTACAAAGGCTTCGCATTTTTCTTTCCTCCCACTGAAGACCGTGTTCCGTGACAGGAGATACGATTGCCCACCGCAATTACCTCTCACACCATATACATCCAACAGGTATCTCTCTCTAAAGTACTATAGTGTGCAGTCTACTAACCTCTTGCTGTTACCTAGTAACAGTACTCTTCTCTCATTACGACTCACCTTGTTAAAGCACGCTTCCCACTCCACTGCTGTCAGATCTTGCAGCTCATGAACAAGTAATGCCCGCTGGAGATAAGTGAGCGCAGACATTCTTACATCACGGCGGACGTCACAACAGAGCCGCGCGATTCCTTGCAACAAGGGACACCAGCATTTAGTCCACAGGAAGTCCATGCTCTGATCATGTGCTGTTACGTCACTAGGCCTACTTTGCTGTGATTGGTTACTATCACCTGGGATTTTCTCAAAGATGCTGCTTGCATGAGTGTGTAGCGTGTACATGAGTTCGGTGAGTTGGAGAGACATAGCATCGTAAGTATTGTTAATAGTCTCTACAATTTCAGCTTCGTCTTCGCTCGTGGCTGGACTGCTTGTTGCTGACTTAGTAGATTTGCGCGTCTTTAAGCCTGTTGGGCTCACTTTCTTCAAACGCGAGGATGACGATGACGCCTTCTTGCTTGATCGTCCCCAGCTGCCTTTGTAATCAGCTCCGTTTTCTTTAAATTGCCAGCCGTCTTGCCGGTATCCCGCACCTCCATTCAGACTGGCTTCTGAAAACACGCGAATGGCGTGCACACACTGCAGGTAATTCTCCTTGGTGACGTGAGCGTTATCGCGGATTAAAAATGCCAAGGTCTGGCACGATTTGACAAATGATTTACTATCATGTTTGTTTAATTCAACACCTACAGTCAATTCATACTGGTTTGCAGGAGAACTTTCCGAATCCTGTTTCGTAATCACTAACCACGTGTCTCCTAAAACGCTTCCGCTTAATGCCGAATCTGCCTCGATGCTCGCAAATGAGCTTACATCGCTTTCCGAGTTCGAAATTCCGTCGGCAAATTCGTAATCTCCCGCGATTGAATCACTATCCGGATCCTTGGATACTGATGCCATGGCAACAGGACCCGAAGTGACAGTAGGTGGCGTGGCGGCAGCCCCAACACATTCTAAGAGCGTAAACACTGTGACCCAGTCTCTAGAGGATGTTATGCTTGAGGCATTGGTTCGAATAAGTTCGTGAAGTCCGAATGAAATTTGCCTGCCACAAGCTTGAAGAACATTTTGCTTCATTAGGAGAAGGATTCGTAGAGTTAAAAGGACTTGACTGGAGACTTCCTCTTTATGCAAAAGGCGAATCGCCAGCCGGAGTAAGCCCACAACAGACCTTTCTACAATTGAACTGCAAAAAAAATTCAAATTAAAAAGATTTTATACATTAGCTTCCAATACAGTAGGTAGGTTTAATACCAGTTTCACAAGTCGTATCAGCGTTTTTCTCAAAGTAACCCAAAACTCTAGATTCAACGATCAGCCCTCTTCAAAACAAACCTATGAAGCCCAAATATGATTAAAACCCGTTTTTGAATACTGGATTGAGCATTCCACGAGACTAAACATTTGTTGAACAACGTAGCACTGTCAGGCGAACAGGCAGTAATTCGATCAAGCGTTACCCTTCCAAAAAACGCCCCTCAATTAAACCCAATAAACACCCCCATTCCAATAAACGGCTCCTTATTCAGAGGAGTGAACTTTAAAATATGCTTCAACTACTGCTTCAACCTTCTAACACTGGTACTTTCGATAGATAAGATAATTCTATAAACAGCCGTTTAAGCCAAGTTCACAATTTGTAGTTCGGAGATGCAAGGTAAAAATATATAAACCTAAATGGGCGCTGCTTGCAAGTAAGTTCACTGTCTCCAATAACTGCTTTCCTTTAACTTACTACCAAAATTTATTAAGCGCCCCGGTCACTAATAGAATATTCAGGTATGCTATCTTGTTATATGTTTAAACTAACAAATCTGAAATAATCAGGAGACTGAAAAGTACAGCCACCAGTTGTTATGAAGTTCTTACCTGTGTTGAGATGCGTTCACAAGAATGTTGGAAAGATGGTCCCTTACCGTGCCCCATAATGCTGAAACACGATCCCTGAAAACCAAATAAAAACATTGTGTCCCTTGTTAACGACACTGTCATCTCTCAGTATTATAAAACACGTCTGACTCGAACCCAGCCAGACGTTATCTGTCTTGACCATTCGAAAACCGAAGATTAATTAAAGTGGCACAAATCTGTTGGCTGTTAAAGAGTAAAATTGTACATTACCGGTTTTGCAAAACAACTCTTATTAGGAGCTCAAGGAAGAATACCGCGGCCTCTTCATCACATGTCTGAGCGGACATTGATTCATGATTATCAAAACTGGAATTGTAAATCAGCACCTAAATCAATAAACACAACAAATCACCTGTTACAACAAAAACGGACTGAACTCTATACTAAAGCACCTAGTGGATTTTCTCTAATGTAAATATGATGTTAGTTACATCAAGTCAAAGCACTCGATAAGAGAACTTATCAGAGACATCGACTTGTTAGTTGACATGACCAAGCTCCAAACAAGTTGTAGCAATATCCCGGCCATCATAAGCATTATAGTGAAACATAGAGGACAACAAAGTTTCATTTCGGTCTTGTGCACGAACAAGTACATCACCTTCATAAGTTCATTCAACGACTCCGGTCTCAAAAACTTGCTCTCTGTGATAAGGAGCTCTGGATGGCAATCCTAAGGACACAGGAGTCAAAATAAACACGATTTATTTTCTAATTAGCAGCAGTCCGCTTCGGAGATTTTTACCAATAATACTGTAATTCACTTTTGAGTTTGATTAATCACACAGCGGATTTTAGTAATGGGGGTCGAAGTTCTAGAACCGTCCTAGATCGCGTCAAACTCCGTTAGCCCGTGGGAGAGGTTAGGATATGAGAGTCCGAAGAAAGACTCTGGATTTCACTGAAACAAAGCGATACATTGATTGAAGGAAGGAGAAAATGCTTCCGAGCACCACGAGAGACAGAGTGCAACTTTACTCCGTCAGTAAGCAACTACCTTGATATTTTCTGTATCGTGTCTGAAGACAATTCCTAGCCAACTCCTGAAGTGTATTACAAACACCTGATTCAGGGCCGTAGCTAGTAACAGGCAAACCGAGGCACTTGCCTCAGTCATTTGTTTCGTTTTTGTTGTTTATAGTCATCAAAAACACCCCAAATTCCCAGGAAGAGAATTAAACCATGAACATTGCCTCAGTCACAACTCATTTCTTGGACACTGCCTCAGTCATAATTTGTTTCTGGCTACGGCCCTGTGATTTAAAAAACACGTTCATCTACAAGGACACTCCTTTTCCCATTTTCCACCAAACAGGGTTGGAGAAATTGTAATGGCAGCAAAGCAGAGTAAAGGGAAACTTAACTGGAGTCTAAGCAAAGGCTACACATCGACTTTAACTCTTCAAATGTTATCAACAACAACAAAAAAGAAGAATCAAAACTATAGTGCCCCGTCAAACAACTCACTCTAATGCAGTTATGAGCTTGTTTCTGTGCCTCTTTATCCTCTGTAGACTGGCCTCTGTAGCTCGCAGGTTCAGGGTTTGCAAACCACCACGAAAATATGGAGGTTTCCGGCCTGTGAATAGTAATAACAGTTTGAGCCAGAAAAAGTGCGGCCAGTCTATAATATGATGAACGACTTTACAGGCTGTTATTGGCTTGTTGCGCAGTAGGCATGTTCAAAACTCTTATGAAACACGTTTAAGGCGAGTGGTCTGGCATCGAAAGTTCGTTTGCACTTCTTGAGAGGTGGTTTCTCTGCTCTTTAACAGTGACAACCATGAAAAAAGGTGGTCGACTTGGGTTTTTAGGATAACATCGAAATCCATCATCAGTGTGAAATCGAACGTGGGGGCCGCTGACTGCAAGTAAAATCACTTCACTGCTGGAAGGCGACGAGTTTCTATTCCACTTGACAGTTCATTGAGGAAGACAAGACAATCTCTTAAGTTATCCGAAAGTTACCCTGCGTTGGGTTACAAGTTACGTCGTTTTTAATTTGGAAAATCCAAGTCATAGGTATGGATGCGAGTTTCACTCCATCCTACCTTCCCTCCGTCTTTCGATTCCTGTAAACTTTTTGTGATCGAATCCGCTAACCAATGTATAAAGCTTTTGCAGTCGTCGCGAAGTTCAAGTTCTATCCCATCTGAAGGCGAAATGATTTCCTTACGGAATGATTAATTTTAATTTTTATTCGCAATTTTTCTCATTTTTCTTTGCATTTTTGACGAAAGTACTCCCTATCTTACCGCAGAAATGATCTACATTGAATAGATTTTCGCCCGAACGCTTTTATATGTAGAAGCTAATTGTATAAACAGCTCATTTCCCGAAGGTGTCCGCTTAATACAGGTTTAACTGTATTTGATTGCCGAAAAAGAAGATATTGAAAATCAAAAAATTGATGAGCCGTATAACTTTTCGAATGATTCAAGCCGTGATTAAAAACGGACAAGAGAATTGAGGAGAATTCGAACGACGCGTTTCGCTACTCTTTGTAAATAAATACACATAAATATGGACATGGTGAAATGATATGAATAAATAGAGAAAATAACATCACACAAGGCTGGCAGTTCTGCAGTCACTGATATCGCCTCGGAAAGGGAAGAAAAAAAAAAAAAAGAGAAAAAGAGAAAAAGAAAAAAAGAAAAAAAAGAAAAAAAAGAAGTTGTTACAACACGGGGTATTCGTATTTGGTCACCCAGCCAAGTAGGAACCCCGCCAAACACGAGATGCGGTGCTGTCCCTGTGGTATTAGGACTCTACGCTGGAAACGGATTTTGATTTCTAAGATCTCTCAAAAGGTAACAAAGAAAGAAAAAATCACATCTATCGGCTGGGAAAATGTAGAAAGAAAAAAAAAATAGGGAAGAAAATAAGAATTACTTGGTGATCGGATAAGAAGCGGTACTTTCTTTGTAATTGTCTGGGACAAGGATCACCGATACCTTCATGAATGTTTTCAACGGTGTCACATCTCCTTGTGCATTCTCTTACCGTTGCGTTTTGCACTATTTCTTGACAATGCCAGTAAGCTTTAACTTTAACTTACGGATTAAAAACTGAATTCAGCGGCATCACAATTGCCACTGTTTACAGACGATCCATTTTCCAAGTTGAGTGGCTCATACTTTCATCGACAAATGAGAATGTAAAAATTGTTTCCGTCAGTTATCACAAAAAAAGTAAAGTAGAATAGCCTTGAACGTAAAGCGTGCAGGAAAAGATACCCGTTACGGAAAAATGATTCAAAACATAAGCAGTCTGCAAATGGCTGGTATAGAAGACAAACCTTGCAAATGGCAGCTCTTCTGGCAAAAGACTTATTCTCCCGCTGGCCTCCACGAAGTCCTCAGCCTGAAACGACAAAACAGTCAAAAGTGTGCTCGATCCGACATTCATTCGACTTTTTTGTCCCGGAATTGTACACAACAATGCTAACTCATTTAAACTTGACAACAAGTACTAAAATAGAAAGATAATAACACAAAGGCGGTAACTTTCAAATACCTCCACCATAGATTTGGGCAGCATCTTTGCCTTGAACAGTTGTAACATACAATCCATGATGTTCTTCCAGCCTTCACGGAGAATATCACCGTGACGATGAGCCAAAGCAAACAGTGTTCTTGCTGATTGCTGAGATTTCAGATTTCTACCAAACGACACTGGTAGACTTTCCCCACTCTGAGGACGAAATCATCAATTTTTGATTGAAAAGTAAGTCCTTATGCGTAAAATAACACAATTTTAACATCGTGAGAATACGATTCAGCGATTGATCAAGGACTGATTAGCATAGATCAACATCCAGCTTGGGTTTGAAAGTGTCTGGTTAAACCTAAGACATGGACATACCGATGGCAATAAGAAATTTCACGTTATAAAAGCCAAGAAGTGTTTTAAGCATATCGTAGTAACCAGCTCAGAAGAGAATAACAAGTAATCAGAAATCTAATACAAATTCAACTGATTGGGATAATTTGGCACAACAAGTCACAGGTCAGTACTGATACTTTTACAGCTTGCAGAGCAAATCCAAAAATCCTCTATTGTCGATCAGGCAAGTTATAAGAACTTAACTTAAGTACCTTTTAATAACGTACGAAAAGTGAAAATTACGAAGGTAAAGACCTCACTCGAAATAACAGATATTTTAACAACACATGAAGTCGCAAAATATAGTTACTGATTGCAGCAATGCAACTCACCTCGGGTGGGATAAGTAATGTGGTAAATTTACACAGTGAAATAACCAGGTTATCAAACACATCTGACAAGCTGTAATGGGCTGATATGAGGGCGCATTTTCTGAAACAAAACAAGAATCTAACACTCAAGCTCAGTCATTTATGCCCACGACACAACACTTGAACTCTTGAAGTTAAAACAGGCTTGAAATATAACATTAAAGTGGCACCATAGGACGATCATTTATCGCGTTGCACGGGTTAGTGTTGTATTTTGAAAGTTGGTCTTGCATTCCCTTTTGCATCCATTTCTCTCCAACTTATCAAGGAAGCAATGATGAAATAGTATTTTACAATCATCTCTGCTAAATCTCGCCTTTTAGCTTTGAATTATAAAGCCCCACAATGTGTTTTTCATCGTTTATATGACTTTCTTTCGGATTTTCCTGAATTAGACCGTTCATCAAACTCAGAATACACACATCGGCGGTAAAAAATACAATAAAGAAATATAGTTGCCTCACGAAAAAGGAAACTGTCAAAACAATTATACGTAATAAATACATTAAGTTAAACAGATTTTTTTACCTGAATCCCAAAATAGCTTTCTGTGCAACACTTTTTTCCAGTCCGTTATCATACACATATGACAGAGCAGCCACTGCAGGACCCCAAATGATTAAAAACAAGTCTTGATCAAAGCTACTACCCAAGCCATGGATGTATTTCCCCTCTGGAGTGCTGCTACGTCTCAACAAAACCTGTTTGATATCATCACATGTTCAAATGGACATTTAGAAAGGCAACAAAGTAGAAATGACGACAATTAATAAGAAATTAACAGTACAGCTAACCTGGCAAAACTCATTTGTTTTTCAGTGTTGCTGATTCAAATGCACGGTTTAAAGTAAAACAACGCATACAGTGTCCAGAAATCCATCTCAGCTAATAGTCTGAAGCGTACTCCCGCAAGAAGTTTCTGCTGAAAGCAAACCACTGCTCTAGAAATGTTCATTGGGTCCTAGTAGACTTGAAAAGTTTTGGTGGCAACTTTGCAACTCGCTGAGACAGGATATCGTGCTTCAAAATAATAGTTCTACCGCAAAACTGTAATCATTCAATCCATTCTCACCTTCCATTCATAATTTTCTTTTATTTTTCCACTTCTTTCAGAAGGCATTACAATCTCCTCATTTCTGTTGACAGTAAACAAGACAGGTAGCAAAAGAAAGAACTTAATGTAGATGATCAAATCTAACTCTGGACGTGTTGTATATACCGGATAAAAATGCAGCTCATCCAAGACGCAAAGCATGTCCATACTTCCTTGAAATACTAAAGACGCTGCTATTTAGAGTCACCATTTTGGTTCATGACCAAATTTAAGGGGACTTGATATCGCAACCTTTATACAAGGACGCCCTTGTATTGAAAATGTTATACTGGTTTATATAATAAATAAATAATAGCCTCCATTTGGCGCGAAAGTATGCTCGGATATTTGTTCGCGAACATTATCTGTTCCAAGAAGCGAACAGTCTGTGAGCTTTAAGGAACAGATACTGTGCAAGGACAAATATCCAAGCATATTTTTGCGCCAATTGAGGCTTTTGTGTTTATTATCCTTCAAATATTTTTCGCAACATGCGCAGTACAGTGAAACTCCACTCTACGGACACCCGCTTAATACGGACACCTGCTTCTAACGGACAGTTTTCTTTGTCCCGACAACTAAAAAGTTCATATATTTTCTCTTAAATTAGCCTGCTTAATACGGACACCCGGATAATGCGGACACTTTATCATGTCCCTTTGGTGTCCGTATTAACGGGGTTCCACTGTATTGAAAATTAGGGAATATCCTCGGATATTCCCCAGTTTTAGCTGGGGAATATTCAGTCACGTGATGCGTTTAGACCAATCGCGCGCAAGCGAAAATATTTGATGTATTATAACCCAAGTTATTCTCGCATTTTGATTGGTTCTCGCCTATGATCTATTAGAGGACAGACGCACGATTGACGTCTTCATTTCGAAGTTTTCACCTCTGTGTTTTAAAAGAGCGGAAAGTTTTGAGAATTTAGACAATATTTTACGTGACTGGGCGAAAGATAAAGTCCAAAAAAAGTCTTGTCGAGGCATTGAACAGGTACCAGAAGGAAGAAGACAGAAAAAGCCGTTTCTTTTTTAGAAAATGACTCCGAAAAACACTCGAGCAGTCTCAGTCGGCAGTCGAGCGAGACTAAACCAAACAAAATTGGTCTTGAAATTACTTTAAGGTAAGAAACCATCGCTTTGTCTCGAATTTAACAAACCCAGTTAATAAAATTGTTACATGACTAATTTATTTAAACAATTCAACTTTTCTCAGTTTCGAAATAATTAAGGAAACATGAAAACATCACTTCATAAAATCAGTTAAAATAAACACATAACCTTGCTTTCCGACGCGAATGTTCCAGTCCAGTAGAGCTCACAGCCAACTGTATCGCAGCTATAGGATGTCTCCGACACTATATCAAACTGATTTGAGAATCACCAACCACAGAGGACGCAAATTTCCACCGTCACTACCGGTCGTTTCATTTAAAACTCGAATCGAATGGCCTCCAGTGTTGACCGCAACCGCAAGTTTTCCGAGCGTATTTTTTCAACTCCTTCAATATTCAACGCAACATCCAAGCTTTTCGGCTCACAAGGCTGCTATAATGACAAAAACCGACTTGACTTTTCTAGCATTTTCTTCAAGATTTGTAGATTTCGCAGTTCAATTCTGCTTTCACTGTAAGTTTTCATTCCACGAGAAGCGATTTGTTTACGATAACTATAAAATTCTCGCGCGCTCATTGGCTACTTTTCATCGTCAACAAGCAGACAGACACAAATTTATAATTTATGCGACGCGTCAACGAGCGAGAGCGGACAATTTGACAATTTGTTATCGTAAAAATCAAATTGACGTCAGTTTTTCATGCATTTGTCCTGTTATTGACAATGAATTTCGTCATAACATTGTCAAAGTAGTGTGCGGATCCACACGTCTATCGCCTCGTGGATCCACAGCTATTTTGACAATGTTATGATGAAATTCATGATCAATAACAGGACAGACGCATGAAAAACTGACGTCAATTTGTTAATTCGAGTCAAGTTTGACAGTGGCGTGATTTTCCTGGACCAATCACAATTCTTTGCTGCGCATAGCAACCAATGAGATTAGTTCATTTTGCATAGACAATAGATTAGGTCAAATGGCTTTTCTTCGTGGCAAAGGCCGACTTTCGAATTAGGGTGAAAGATTCTGAAATAAAAAAGCTTTATATGTAGTAGCTTTTTTCTTTATTATATAAAACAAATAGATTTCATGTTGCCGTACGTCTGTTCAGTGATAGATCACAGAAGATGTCAAAATGTGGTATTAAAGAACATCAGTGTTGAGGCTATCGCCTCGTGTGTTACTTTTTTGATCTTGCCACATTTTGACGTCATCTGTGATCTATTACTGAACAGACGCAAGGCAACATGGAATCTTTTTGTGAAGTAGTTAATGTATCATACCAGGTTCAACACATCATAAAATTGACCCGTTTGTTAAGGGTTATTCGCGTCTTGCGTAATCCTCCGTAAGGAGAAAGGAAGCGACTTGTACATTTACCCAATTCTTAGAGCAGGAAAACCTTAACAACGCTCATAAAAACATACAAAAAGCTCTAAAGTATTCAAATGTAGCATACACAATTTCGTCAATACAAATATTGCCAAAATATGACTTTCCCTGTGCTTAATGGGCTGTGTTAGGTTGGCAAGGTATTGTGGTAGAGTGTAAAGCCGCCATCTTTAGTCTTAAGGGAGATTTGGGATGAGTATGAAGGCTGTTTTGCTCTTGGATGGTAGTTATAGAGCAGGTCCCAGTTGTTCAAAGGGAGGATAACACTATCCACCAGATAAATCGCTTTCCAGTGGATAAACGTTAACAAAACAAACCATGCTATCCGCTGGACAGTGATTTATCCTGTGGATAGCGTTATCCACCTTTCGAACAACCTGGGCCAGTGATGGTAATTCTGTATTACGATTGGTCTCTGATGTGTCAATATGTTATCACCAATTTAATCTAATAATTTAATCTAACTGAATCAACTTTAGCTGGAGAAAAATCCAGAGTCCAGAACCCTGTTACAGAAGACAGTTCAAGGAGTCTAAAAGCAGTCGCCAAGTCCACTGTGCTAACAAGTTAGCTATCTAATTTATTTCCCTCGAGTTATGGGGAAGTATTTGACCCTCGAAAGACCCTACGGGCTGGGGTGATTACAACAGTGTACTGCAGTGATACCTGATTGCATGATAGACTTCTTCCAGCATGCTTGCTTTAAAATCACCGTTACCATTTGTTCTTCTCAGGTTTCTCTTAAAATCCTGCATTAAAATGACAAGCAGATTACGTGATTTTCTTTAACTTATCGGGCATTTTGCATATTGCTATTTGTTATGCAACGACAACCTTTTTGCCATAAGCCTGTTTGTTTGTTTTGCAGAATAGATTCTTCAGCTTCCAAAAAATGGCATACATATCGTCGCTATGTGTCACAATGACTTTTAATGTAAAACTTACTGATGCAGAGGTGTTTTACTTCATATCCTACCAGTAAATACGGCTTCATGGCTCATCCTTGCCTTTTATAAAATATTTAAGATAGTACGCGCAATCCCATTGGTCGATAGGTATGTTAGATGAAAGTATGTAAACACGGTTGTGTCGAATTATTTTAGAATTCTCGAAAATTAAGCGCTCCCCCGACTGCGTCTCGGGTTTGCATAGCTGCCTTGAATTCTCCCACCCCGCCTCGTGTTTAGATGAGGCCATGTCAACACGAAAAAAGCACTCTGCTGCTTAAATATATATAAAAAAACGTATTACACTTAGGAGACACTCAATGTCTTCTTTTGGAAATCCTAAATTTGATTGGTTCTCCCATTGCGGTCTGCTTCCACTGTAACTCACGACAACACAATAGTGATCATATAATGACTGCTGACTGTACCTCACATGTCATCGGCTTCTGCTGTTTGATGTTGGAATTGTGTTGATCCACGTTCAACATAATAACAGCATAACACAGCGTAAATACAGCATCCTTGTTGGCATATGGTTCTGGATTACTTTCCTGAAAATAATTTGTACTCCAGCATATAAATGGCAGAATAGACACAATGTAGCAGCTCTCGTTCTGTCTCTTCATGAATTTAGGTGGTTAAACTTCATTATATCTCGAACGTACCCCCGTCATCTCGAACTATTTTTCGTTTCCCTAGAACTTCGAGTTAGCAGGGTTCAACTGTATTTTGTGTAAAAAATTCCAAAGACAACATTACGACAGAAACCCACATGAACAGACGCCTTACAACCTTTGACAGAGTTTAAAGAGGAATTCTCACAACGAACATTATCATATTTGTAAATGAAAAAAAAATCATCAATTGTCTTACAACAACTGGTCATACAGGTAAATAAGATTCAGCACTGAATGTGTGTCATTACACATGTGAAGGTAGGTCCACTCACATAAAACTGTTTAGAAAAGAACTCCATGATGTGTTCAATGACAGGGCTTTCACCAGGAAGACGGTAGCTTTCCAGGAAAGAACGCAGAGCTTCATCCACTCTCAAGTCATGGAAATGGAAAGACCTAAGAACAACATAAACCTGCTTACTTTGGGTACACGTCACACTGAACAAATGAAATGAACTGTACTCCAGCAACACAGGCTCGCTCATTCAATAGTGAACTTGGAAAGTTTTTTTCTCTGTCTTAATGTGACAATTTTCGTCCGAAAGGCCCCAGCAACAGTTGTCACGTAGTTGTATTGAGTAAATATATCTAATTAGATGTTTTGATATCTAGTATCGCTGTACATTTTTACGAGTTGTGCCGTATTTTGACGAGCCCGTAAGGCGAGTCAAAATAAAAACGAGTAAAAATATATAGCGATACTACATATCAAATCTAATAAGAGATTTATTATCCAACTGTTGTAGTCAATAATTCTATCAGCGAAAGAGGGAGAGTATGACAGTTTTGCGTACGCGCGCTGACCTGTCCGGCAAACAGATAACAAATACAAATAACTGTACAATATCGCTGTATACTTGTACTCGTTTCGTGCGATATTTGGACGGTATTCGCTGCAGTTGGACAATAAACAATCATAATTCTTTCACAAAACTCACTGGCAAATTGCATAACATTTTGGGAAATTATCTGACAGTAACGTAACTGACAATGGTTTATTTAGAGGTCCACGATCAATTCTGCATGTAAAATAGGGCTGAAACTATACGTTTTTCTTTTGAAATGAACAAATTAATTTTCCCTATGGAAATCCTCCATGTCTGAATGTAGTGTAACTGGTAGACTAAAAAAGAAAATCATTTTACCGAACAAAGGCCTCTAGAATCCTGCTGTTCTTTTTGTCACCAATATAGTCACCAATAGTCTTCTTGTCAAGGCGAGGGTTTTCACGTAGAAACTTGGCCATTTCTTCTGGATTAAGGGGAGAGCAAAGCAGTCCATGTTCTTGGAGAAATTCAATTCCTTTCTTGGGCTTGGTGTTGAACTGTTCAGTGCCTGCTTGAAGAATCTAACAAAAACTACGACTTACTTAACTTATTTTGCAATAAGTAGTAAGGAATAGTGCTACAGATCTGACGCTAGGTCCATTGCGAGAGTAACATGTCATGAACCAAAACACAACAAAGCTTTCCATGAATAGCTCAGTGACTACAACACCTGACCAGTGCGGGAAGGTCATGGGTTTGTTTCCAGGAGCGGGGCAGACGACTCCTGAAATTTTCGTATATGCATCATCCACCGAAAAAATGACGTCAGATCCCGTCTAAACTGCGCTTCGCAGTTCGTTTCACAAAGCGAGAAAATGGCGCTTCGATTACTCTCGATTTTTCTCTATTTGTAAAACAGAAGCCATTTAGTTCCGAAAGTCGCTGTCACCAGAGCTTTTGTTGCTCTTGGCTCACGTGTATTGGTAGAAGAGACAAGCTGGATCGCATGCATGTTGAAGGTCAGTATCCCACATTCCCATAGGCGTACGGGCACCTTCGGACTCGGGAGGTGGGGGGGCCTTCTTGCCCGAAAAAATTAAGCAAAGCCCTAATGCGTGAGTGTTGAAATCGGGATGCAAACGCACTCAAATTGCGTGAAAAACGAAAACGCTCACAAAGAGAGTTATATTGAAAGCTTGCATATTCAATGACCTCTACGAATAGTCTCAATCGAGTAGAGTCTAAAACTTATTAAGAGAAAAGTTCTTCGTTCAGAGGACGGCTGATCAGCAACAGAGAGATTTGTGTTTCAAGATGCACCGTTTGGACGACCGTTACAGAAGCTATCCTATATCGAGACGTACAAAGAAGAACATGAGGCATTGCTAGTCCATCAAGCCTTTCATGAATTCAGAAGCCACGTCAATATGATGGTAAACAACATGGACGTACTAGGGTAACACCTCCAAAGAAAAATTCAAGAAAGAAAGAAAGAAAGGAACACCCCACGGTTAAGACATTCCAAACGGCTCTTTTCAGGGTTTCCACAAAAACAAAAGTCTTGGTCTTCATTCGCTTTGATTCGTGTCCTTGTTTTGTTGATAGAAAATTGGGAAAGGAAATATCCTTATCGTGGATTTCCACGATATACATTTAAACGACTTGTAGTTAACAAAAAACCTCAAGTAACTTGACGGCCTACAGACTCGCGGTCGGGCGTCTAATCACACAGAGACTCAGAAAAAGGAGAAACATTTTTTACGAGTTTTGAAAATCACGCCAATAGCATTATTTTGTAATGCTTTCTCTCAAGTGTCGTTGTCCGAATCATTAGAGTTTTGCCTGAATTATTTCCGTGACTGGAGGGCCTGCAGCCCCCTTTATTTTTTCCACGTGTGGTTGCCCAAATCATGAGCGTTTTGCCCGAAAAATCACATAATTTCCGTAGCNCCCCCCCCCCCCCCCAGCTCGTACGCCTATACACATTCCTAGATCTCTCTTTGAAGATTGTTGTTTTCAGTAAGATACAGTACATATATTGGTACTTTGGGGTCATCATTCTTTTTCATGGTAGGTGCTTTTAAAACGCCCAGTAAAAACTTGATTACATGAAACCTGATGTCTCCATGGAATTCGAGGAAGATTTTTAAGTTCTATTCCTCTTTAAAAGTAATTGAATCAATTCAAAACCAAGCCATCAGAAGGAATCCGCCATTGAAGGCCCGAGATAAGGTCCTGTTTAAGAACCTTCCCCTTTAAAAATCGTGGGGGTCTTCTTTGAGGCAACACACCAAAAAGTGGTAGTAATGTTTGTAAGGCCCCATTTATATGGTCCCGGATAACCGTGACAACCCTCCCTCTGAGGCAACTTTATCAAGTGTTTATATGTGAAAATGCAGTCCCTGTAGCCCAAGTAAAGGTTGTACATTAATAGTTCGTGTAAACATGACCCTCCTAGATTAGCTCAGCTATCTGCTGGCATGTTATAATTGTAATTTTAATTTGAAAACAAAAATAAAATGTATGCATGTATGTATGTATGCGTGTTTGTATGTATGTATGACTTGCACGATTATTAATAACCCTTATAATTTGAATCAAATGTGCAAATAGCCCTCTTTGTTTAAGTTTCCCTCGGTCATTTGACCACAGTGGGTTTTGCCGAGTGAATTTTCTCTTCTTTGATACAAATTGCTCCTTTAAATCTTAATCTAGACATTACGTGACACTCGCCATGCCGAGAATTGTCCCCGTTAGGCAAGCCAAAGTGTTTTTTATATGAAGAAAGTTGTCGGTTACTTTACTTGCCAAGGCGAGTCAACTTGCCCACCTGAATTGTCTTGCCTCCAAGTCTGGTTCGCGATACTCATGTAAACGGTTGGTTGAATTTTGCAAGGAAATAAGTGAAAGGTTAGTTCGGCCAGGGTAACTCGGGGGAAGGGTTGTCTCAGGTACACAAGAGCCACTCTATTTTATTTCCATATTCCCTCATCCTCTTCCAACTGATTACGCAAACTATACTTTCCAAAATCTTTATGGGTACAGGTGTTTGAGAGTATCATCTCTATCACTATTACGGCCACTCCGTTAACACAGCCACCTTGTTATTATGGCCACTTTATTCTGGCTCACACAAAAGCTCAGTCGGTCATTTTCTTATTTATTAATTATGCAGTCAGATGTTTGTGGCCTGTTGGTGGCCTGATAACAGGCTTCCACTGTTATTTAAAATTGTCAGTGTCAGTTGGTTGTTTTTAGGATATTTGCACCTCAGTAATGAAAACGGATTTGGGCTAACCCACAAAACAAAATTCTGGTACATTGTAGGAGTAATTTATGCAATTTACAGTAAGCATCAGGCATCATTTTGATAGTGGAGTCCCATAATCCTTGATTATTTAGAGATTGGTTATCCCCTATAGCCGTCCCTGAAATTATCAAGGCTGATATCTCTATTATGTCATCAAGGCAATAATGTTTTGATTCCTACCCCCTGGGGGGGGGGGG